TTATGCTAACACCGCAATGACTATTAGGTACTTCTATGTATAAAAGATAATAAATCACAATAAGTCAAACTCTAAATAAATGTATCTAAAACCCTTATGATGTACAAAACACAAAGCTAAAGTGGTAAGCAAACCCGCATGGGCATTTTTCCCGCGCCAGTATTATCCAGCTAAGTGGACGGGTCCAATTTATATAAGGATGTGACAGTCCGTGAATTATGGTGATCGGTTACCGGTTGACGTGATCCCGGGATTCAATAGGGTTTTTAGCCACTATCCAACGTTTGCAGGTTTGCGTGCAAAATGTTTTTGTCTGGATTAGCTATTGACTTACGGCAGCAATATGGCCGCCGAACAATGTTTTAGGTTATGTTTTATTCAATGTATGCGTCAGTTTTTATTTTTATTACCAAGTCTATTGTTGTTCATAAAATATAGAGTTCTATTTTATTCCCTATTTTTTGTACTCCCTATTATTTGGAGAATATCGTGAGGCACTTGTAACAAAGCAAACACATTGCAGTTCATATATCACACAGTTTATACCTCGCTACCATCATTAAGAGCGTACTTTATGTACCTCACAAAATCTTTATCTTTATAATGCAATTTTTCCTTTCTTTGCTATTTCGTAAAAATGACGTCACCTTTTAAACTACTCCTGTGTTAGATCCGTATCGGTTCCACAAAAGTTGGATGAGCTTTCATGGTGGGACCGTAAAAAAAGCATCGAAGTACGTTTGGTTCGTTATTTGGGCCCATCCGGGTCCCTAATCGGGATCAGGGTCCAGAATGTAGGTCATCGTACTGCCAGATCCCATGTTCAAGGAAATGAGTGGGTTGGAAAAATTGTGACGTCACACATCACGTATTATGAAGATATAAAGTTTCCCCTTTGATTCATGATCACAACTCGGAGGTTTGCGGCAAAGCCCTTGCGTTCTCGTGTGATAAGGTTTTCTTTTAGAATAATTTTTGTAGCAAACGAGGCGTGACGAAGGGTAAAGAGTTTGTTTTTTATATCGTTAAAGGATATTATGTTTGTAATGAGGTTCATAACAATGTAGGTTTAATTTTAATTAAAGTTGATATGTTGTCACTTCCTTGTGCGGATTATCCTCATTTGGATTTTTAAGGTTCCTGAAAAAAGCAAATAGGGTTTCGTACTCCATTAAAGTCATTCTCGTTTTCCTATCTATATAGTAAAACGCCACCGGTCGTTGTAGTACACATATATAGTGTACATTTATAAATAGTTGATAACGTAACAGATTGGTTACTAAATAGTGAGAATCAATTGTTTTGTAATATTATCAAAAACACAACACCTGTTCGCGGCCACAGATGTCTTGAGTAATAATTGGTTTTGCTATCCACAAGTTCTCTCTCCTTTATTAAGTAAATTATTATACCATCGAATAAGTATTCTAACAATAATTATTAACGAAGATAATTGTACAATTCGAGGCAACGAGAATCTCGTGAAAGCTGAAAAAGACAAAGCAAGTAAATATCTGGATTTGGGTTATAAGATTGTCGACATGTGAGATGTGGATTCAGTATAATTGTGCCGATAGTCACAAGCTCCCTAACCTAAACTATAATCAATTGGAATCAAGGTCCTAATAAAGAAGGCGGTATTTCTGAACATAGCGCATATTGTCTGTAAATTCTTTTCTCTAGAGCCCTGACCATAGACAGCATGGACTTTGGACGACTTTTTGTAAAAACAAATATTAAATGTTAAGTAAACAATTACAAACTACATTAAAATAGCTTCGAGGTGAAGGTAAGATTCATACTAGTCTATCTAGAATTTAACAGACTTCAAGTTATTAGTTCAAAGGTCGAAAAAGTGGAATAGTCAAAAATTCGTTATATTCGTATCCTGAATCCGATTATACTATCGGATTTTTCCATTAGATTCCAAGTCCATAACCTATTTGGGCTTAGCTATACTGTTTCCTAAAGATAACCGTTTAGAGTGGGAAGGGCACGTTTTTCAGCTCATAATAATATTTCAGTCGATGAAAAAACTGCACCAGCTTCAAACGACATTTAAATAAACTGTTACTTATAACCTGTTTATAAACACAAATATGATTTGTCGTTCGCCATTGCTAAGTAAGTACATCCTCTGTATAACGGTTCCGTGGTTTATGGTATCCTTATAGCATGAGTCGTCGGCCTGGATCGTGACGTCATTGCTGGAGAAAGTACCACATTCTTAGCCTATTGTCACACATGGTCCATTTAAGATGCTTGAGTAAACGCTTATTAACGTAAACTGAGTTGTTTTGGCAGTGAAAATGAGGACTTAGGTACAATGGTCTTTATTGCTTGTGTCGTTTTGATTTAAGGGTTCGCTAATATAATGCAATATGACATTACGAAATTTGTACCTGTTAAAAAGACGGAAATCATATTTTTTTCGATAGTGCGTGTTACTTTGCCTTTCATCTAAGTCAACTGAAATCTCTTTAGTACTTCATGATTGTGTTTTGTTTTCAGTGTTCCCGAAAAGGCCAGCTCGACTGGTGTGTCTTGACGGCCTTACAGAATGCCGGCTTGAAGCAACGCATGTGTTATATTTCGTCGTGTAAATAATGTCTCCTAGGTTCAATCCTCTTTACCCCTTATCCCTACAAACTGGTAAAATACTTCTAACCCTTTGTTGTTGGGGTACTCCATGACCGGCCGCCGATTGCTTCTCATTAGGCGATTCGTCAGCTCGCTACCTATCTCATAAAAATAAATGAATATCGTCACATATTTAATTATTATAAATATTACTAAATGTTCAACAATCATATTATGAATCTCATCTAATGACGTAATTCATTAACAGAATAGACATTAGAAGTATAGTTATTTTTATTACATTAGGTATTATTAATTGGAACGCTGTAGAACTGCATGCATCATATGAAAAAAATTATTTTATATTAAGTATGTTAAAATATTTTGCTTTTTAAATTTGGAATCGCAAAATTTGTAAGTTTGCAAAAAAAAAGTACTTAGTTGGTAAATATGTAATAATAATTAATATTACCGTTTATTATTATTGTTATCACACAATTTGAAGACTTTTAAAAATATTTATTCATAATAAATTCTTTATTCATAATAATATGCGTCGACATTGACCTTTAAAATTTCGAGTGTTATTTTTTGTGGTCTTTTTTATACAGTTAGATGAGTGATGAGTCATGATGTTCACAATACAAAATAGTCACCATCAGTCCTTACAAAAGATAATATTCAAGTATAATTCCAATACTTGTAGAAGGCAATTTATGGCGAAAATTATGAAAAGAATACTTGTTTTCTAGTTTCTTTTACATAAATATATTTTCTTAAATTCTAGCCTTCCGAAGCAACGTGTATGAGAATGCCGTTGTCTTTAGCGTCTACTTGAATATTAAATATGTAACCCACAACACTACAACCGCTTAGTTAGTAGTGGTGTGTAGAGATTGTCAAGTCGTGTCTGTGTATAGTGGAACGGAGAATCGTCGCTGTTCAAGCCGAATGAGATTTACAATGTAATATTGGACAAGAACAAGTACGAGTTATGGTTTGATTACCTACAGTTATTTTGGAAAATATTATTTTCTCTCATGGCTTATAGCGTCATGGTGGATATTTTATTTCTTTTTTATTTATTTTTTTATTTAGGAACAGTCTCAAAACTAAAAAGGTTAGCATTGATAATTTTATATGCTACATTATGTTTTGTTTAGTTAAATAAACAAACAATAATTTAGAATATTTAAAATATGACGTTTTTTTAACATGGCGGTTCTAAATTAACATAACATTTCCATTGACATTACCTCAGAAAAACCGTTATCATTTTACAAAGAAAATATCGACACCTTAAATTACTCTAACATGAAAAATAAATAAAGACGAATGTCACTTGTAACGTTCGATGACTGAAACTCATCGATGGGCGACGGTGACGCACACTAGCGTAGCGTTTGTAGCGGTGTGTAGGTAACCGTAGTCTCATTCTTACCTGCGCACGCGCCCGCGTCGTCTCGAAGAAAGCCTTAGTGCTGACTTGGCGGCCGTCGCGACCGCACCGGCCTGCCGATATGTGGCAAACCTTGTGACTCAAAGTGTTGTGAATTGTGTACAAGCACAGTGGCCGTGCGTTAACCCCAACCCCTGATAGTGCTTAACCGGATTTTTAGTTGGAACGCCCCGCGGCGTGCAAAAGGTGGGTGCAGCCTAAATCTTCCGTATTATCTAGACGTATCAATGCTAGCTCAGTCGAGTGTTAATTTAAGGTAATGTGAAAGTTGTGACGATCGATCGTCGAGTTCGAGGAGTCAGCGATGTTGACACACTTTTGGTTCAGGTGTGGTTGCTAGCAGGTGGGCGCGCCGGCTGTATGTCAGTAATACGTGTCCGACCAAAATTCCAATCTCGAGAGACCGCTTTCGGCTCGACAACTTTCTTCCGGCTGAGGTTTTTGACTCTAGCGTTCTATGGGACTGTTACGGCGAAGTCAACGAATACAAATGTTAACAAAACATTGATGTAACTGCCGAAATGCTCGTGATAATAAAAGCTCGAGATTACGCGAACAAACGGAAGACATCAACGCGCTCCGTTGAGTGTCTTACATCGCAAGCACTTTACATTGTTATAGCACGTCGTTATCTTAACTTTTATCGGGGATAGGATAATAGTGAGATTTAGTTTTATCATCATCATTACATTTACTTGTTTTCGTCTTATCTGAGAAAACTCTTAGAGAACAAATTACTAAATCTGGAGGGAAACATATTCTTCCGTGCGTTTAATTGCTGTTATAATTTAGCTTTTGAAGCAATTTTAAAATTCACACGACACCTTTTATCTCCTTCTGGATCAATATTTTCTTCAATCGAATAACGCATGATCCAAATAGGATTTCTTACTATATTAAACTTAGAGTCTCATTAATTAAGAACGTTAATGAAGTGCATGTTCAGTTTATAGTTTAAAATCTAAACGATTATACTATAAACATGAACTGGAGGTAAACGGGGACACTGCGAGTACCTAGTGACGAGGTTGGACCGGTCCCTCCTCTCCCCCGCAGCCTCCGCTCCCTCCTCACTTCCCTCATCACCTCGGTAACTTGCGATGCGCCCGAGTGCATCCCTCGCATCTATTTTCATAAATTATAAAAATTATCTCAATGCATGCAATTTGCAAATAAACTTCACATCACGTTGAAAAGTAATTTGAAAACCATAGGTACAATTTTACTTGGAAGTGTAATTCGTATTGTAAGATTTGGCTAAGTCTCAATTCCTACTGATAATAATTTAATCACAGAAGACAGATATATAGAGATAAACAACTAACGCTTATGATCTCTACACTTAGTGCCAAAGCACCTAACAGTGCCAACGTGGTTCATATTTGGCACAGCACAATAGGATTCTGCCTATGAACCATCCAGCAACCTGAACATTCCAAGAATTATCATTATTTAACAACTATTCGACAAGTAGGTAATTAAAAAATCGTTTCTGGAAACTACTTAAAAAATTAACTAAAGATACCTGAGTTTCTTTTCAAACAATTATTTATAATGTCTTTCGAACTTGTCGCAACTTCATTCCAAGAAGCGATGAGTGTTTTCAACTTAAAAATCTGCTTTCAAACTGCCATCTTTCACACGATAGCTCCGGTGTCCAAGTCAAATGTCATCAGCTATAAAACACTTTTACAAATTAACATCACAGAGTTCAATGACACCCTTTCATTCACTTAATATTCAAAATTAATTACTTAATAACTAAAAAAACTATTCTGTATCAATCGTATAACAAAATTGAATTTGTCGTACCGATTGGTTGCCGCGCTCTGTTGAATAAACCATTTTTTGGGAGAAATTCATACCTATGACTCGATTCGCAAGGGAAAATCTTCCCGTGATAATATAATTCTAAGTATACGATATGAATAGAAAATCGCACATGGATACTGAAATTTAAAATCCATTGTAGATAATGTAGTCATAACAGAAAACGAAGTAAAACAAATGTTTAAGAAAAAAGTGTCAAAGCATCTACAACTAACTTGAAACCAATTGAGAAATAAATATGAACAAGCAAAAAGCATGTCAAACCTTCCTTGATGCAGAAAGAACAATGACAATGATGAGGAACTAGACGAAACCAGAAACGCTTCATAATAACGCATTACAAGATGAACTAAAATCCCACGTTAGTAAAAAACCTGCGCATATTTCATGTTGAGCTATAATTACTAGCAAAGAGAGCATTATAAACAACGTTTAACAAAAAAATAGCAGACAGGTCATTGAGGACAAAATAAAGCTTTGCTTGATCATTGTGTAAGAATCTAAAAAGTCCTGGGGCTTGCAGTTTGAAGATATTATTATTATTATTATTCGCACGTCATTCTGTGAATTGAATTAAGAATCACTTTGTGAATCGGTAAAATTTTTAAAGCTAGATTCTTTTTGCTCTTGACAGCAATTTAAATTCTTTTATCTTTTATATTTTGAAGTAAATTTGAACTTGATAATTAACATTGTCAATAAAAACATCATAAATCAGAACACATTAAAATACCTAACTTTATAGCATCCAAGAGTTGTGCACGTAACATTTTTTCACACTCTCACTATAATGACAAGAAGCTGGTTACAATTTTCATCAAATCAATTTGCTAAATAACAGCCCATCAACACATTTGGAAGCCAATAAAAGCAATGCTTTTAATTTCATAGAAATTGAACCAATTAATCCATTCAAAGATCATGATGCTCTGATTGACTAAACATTAAAACCCGTAATTATAGTACTAAAATCATGTACAAAGAGAAAGTGTTACATACGCCCCGTGCATACGCCTAAAGACACTTTAATTTTCACTATCCACGCTATGAATCGACCCGCATGGAAACTAGACTACCTACCTGCATTTTGCATTACAATTGTGATTGCAAAAACTGCACAAAGAAAAACTGTATCTAATTGTTGAATTAAACAAAACGTTCTTATTCTTTGAATTCAAAGTAAAATTTCTTTTACGATGTATCTTCGGTTCGTGTCCGAACTTTGTGGTGGAATTCGTTAATATTTATGACAACCAACCGGTTGCCGGTTGGTTCACGACGTCATATCTAATTTTAGAGTTGGAGGCTGCAAACGTTTTTCAAATGAAGTATCTACAGTATCTAAGACGGGATCGAATGTTGACTCGATATTCAAGAAAAATTTGGCAACTATTTCAAGTAGCCAGCTTCTGCTGCCACTAAACTAAGTAACGACTTCAAATATTTCATTGAGTACCAATACTTTCTCAATATTTGCACAAGCATCGCAAAAGAAATTCTCGATAATGAACAAATATTGATATGTGACTCTCGAAATTTTCTAAGGTCTCTCCCACGTTAGACCCTCAAATTACTCAATGCGTTTGGTTATATAACACAAGCAGCTAATACCGCAAAGTGATACGTTTCAAGACGTGATTCGAGCCAACGGTTACCAGTCCGTTAGTGCTAAGGGGGTCATGCGCGCTCGAGTCGCGTGCGCAGCTTTCAACACACCCGACATTACTTGCTATGCGACCTGGAATACGAATATTTTCTTATAATAGGAAACGTGCGGTACTATAAAACAATAAAGTTAAAAAAAGTGTTCAAATGAAATCGATTTAATGATGACTTTTACTCGATTTGATGAATGGTAAATTTGCAAATTATATATACATACATATATTAGATATGAAGAGAAATTTCACTAGCCTAATGTTTGCATAAATATACGTTACAACTCACCATATTATGACAATTAAGTAATTAAACATCAAGTAAGTATTCATGTTCGAGGGACGTATTTTTCGAAAGTTTTCAGTATAAGTGAAAGTTTTTATATGTATATTACGCGGAATGGAAATCGATGGTAGCTATGATGTGATTATTACGGAAATATTAAAATAATGTATTTAAAGGGCTTTAGTTATTACGTAAAGAGGCTTGGCCAATGACAAACTAATGCAGTTTATATAAGAAATATAACCAATTCTCAAGTTTTATGTCTTCTTAAAAATTTAACGGTCACTTTTTCAAATGTTTTAATGGAACAATTATATTTGAATGGAAATATTTTTTTATAAAAATTAAAGAATATTCTAGTCGAAAAAAAGACAACAATATAGAGAAAAGTCTTAAAGGCTTTTATCAGTCTAGAAGGACCATTTTTAAAAATTAATTAAATTAATATACTGTTTGATAATAAAATTAATGTATGTTAAGACATATTTCGTTGTTCATATCGCTTATGTTACCAGCCCTAATGAATAAATAACCGGAAAAAAGAAAAAAAATACAACAAAGTGGAATGTGAAAATATCTCTAGAAAACTAACTTAGAATATTAACAAAAATCATTGATCTCACATAAAATAACTTTCATAGTCTTTTAAAACGCTTTCGTGGAATTCAAAGATCAAACTCAAAATTTATATTAAATACAAGAAAAGGTTATTTAGAAACTAAGGTTATTACACTCAACTGTAAAATATAAACGAGTTAAAAGCGTCAAATCCAGTCACTTTGCCTAAAAATAGTTGTGCAAACAAAACATGCACGGTGTTTAGAGTGTTGTGTCGTGCATGACCGAACAATAATGGAAATTAACCTTGGTACAATCAATTTCCAAATCTTGTCTTGAAAAACACTGACAGCTTAACACGTCACCATACGTATAATTTGATCAACTATTTCGTCTATGACAGCAAGTGGTCCTGTGGCGCAACGGATAACGCGTCTGACTACGGATCAGAAGATTCCAGGTTCGAATCCTGGCAGGATCGAAACTTTTTGTTGCTTTTTTTGAAATTTCTACATTTTTCTCTGCATTTTATTGTGAACAAAACACTTTTTATTTTGTTCTTTTAACGTTTTTAATTAAATAGAAATATTTTCACAGCGACCAAAGTGGGAGCTTCCGCTCCATTTATGACAGCTCAAAGACTGCTAATGAATTCGATTATCCAGAGAGAATTCGCTTCCGCATACGCTTCCGACGATTCAATGTAACTAAACAGAAAATACAGTGTCTATCAGTTGACGATAGTGAAAAGGCCACTATTGCAAATGTAGTAAGGTTCACATTCAAATGTTGAACCTGTAGAAATTGAGACAGTAGAACTAGATGGCCGATATATCTTAAGGCACTTTAAAGTAAAATGTAGAATACATCCATTGAATACTTTACGGGACACATCACACGTGTAAAATAAATCCAATACAAATATTAAATGGTAAAATCTTAATTATAATTGAATTCTTGGCAACTAACAAAGTTAAAAAAGCAAGATCAGCAAAAAATAATGTTACTCATCAGAATCGGACATCGGCAGATGCCAGCTAAAATTAAATAAATGCATTTATTTTTGAACAATACAATTTAAAAGATCATGATGATATCAACATTTAGTACAATACAAGTACCAACAATGTTATTAAAATAATGCATCATAAAATATATAAATGTTACATTACAATGTACGTAGATAGACAGAATTATGAATGACAAAGCCCAAATAATTATTTGCTACTGTCGCGCGGTTTCACCTGCTGCTCGGCTCCATTTAATCGTAGCGTGATGTTTTATAGCCTATAGCACTCAAGAACATTGCAGCTATCTATCAGTGAAAGAATTTTGGCAATCTGACCAGCGGTTTCAAATATTAAACCCCACATACACACTTACAAATTTTACCTCTTTATAATATTAGTATAGATGTCAACTAAGATAAATAAGACTTAGAAAAAAATTATGCTTAAAAATGAAGCCAGAAGAAGAAGATAATATCGTTCAACCATAATAAAATGCAAATTACAGACAAGCTCTTAGAGTAAACTTAGAGCAGAAGGACCTTCCTTTCCGAATGCTGTAACTAAAATTAATTTACTAAAGCAACTAAGTGCAGTGGCCCGTTTTAACGAACATAAATTGTCAAAAGCATTTCAAGAGACAACTCCAGTAAATGCTAATATTTTGCCAACTGATCAATGGGGTGTTTATTCAAACAATTTATTCATTAACATTCAAAAACGTTTCCGTGAAAATACTTAAGTGAATCTATTTCACGTTTTAAATTCAAGATTCAGGAAACGCTT